ACTCCCGAAGTCTGCGGGAACGGGAGTTATGTATTTCCGGCCAAACACATACACACTCACATACACACATACACGCATACACACACATACATACATACACAGACAAACCAACAGACACACTTATCGGGTTTATATAGTAGGATATTACTTCTCCACCAAGCTTACGTGTTATTTCACGTGAATCCTTGTCGTGCCTACGTGGCGGACGCACAAACGGGCATATAAACAGACACACAAAGTTAGCGCTTTATATACAGAGGTTTTTCAGCCTTCAAGAGTGGTGTATTCTCTGAAATATTCAGGTAACAGGTTCCCGCAGAAAATGTGGACAGTTGACTCATGCATTTGTCATTAATTTTGACTAGTTCTCCACAGAAACCCTTCAGCTGTCAGCACGACGTATATCTTGCTCGTGGAGTAGAGCCCTTATGAGTCGAGAGTGTGGGAGGACCAGACGTCGGCTGTGGACCACCATACTCCCTAAACAGACATTTGCGTTCACCTATGCGGCACTCTTTACACTTGATCTTCTCTCAAATCCCTCCTTTCCTCGAATTCTGGGTCGGGAAAGGGGAAGGAAAATACTGATGCAACTATGATAGCTCCTACCTTCCAATCACTTCCGGGCTTTTTTTTACTGTAAATTAGTTAGAACATACAGTTGAGGGTGATAAGTGATCAGTTTCTTGAAGTCATTTTGGAACAATCCAATTATAACAGAAACATGTGTATCTCGTGAAACATTTTACTAGCATTCACGTGAATGAGTGTTCGGAAAATCGTTCATTTTCCGTGTTGTTTGCTAGAAAAATACCAAACATTGCCGAACGAAAGCGTTTGTGGCCAGCGCATTTATGAGAACGAGGAAGATATTCATTAGCAAAGCACATATCTATTACACATTGCGCGTTTCCTGACGAACCAGCGCATTTTTATTGTCGATATCCGGACCAAGGCGACGAGATTCAGACTGAAAAAATGAACGATTTGGCTTGTTTTTGCATTAATGCTGGCTGCATTATCAACTCAAGCGTGTCAACATCCTTTTGCTTTTGTTTGTATGAGAACTGTATGGAGCAAAGTCAGGAAAAGCGAGCGAGCAGAAAAAGGAAAACAGATTATATTGTAGAACATAATCGAAACATCGGTGGAGTTCGGAGAGGACAGAAGTAAGTAGAGACGATGAAAAGGAATAAAGACCGAGGAACAAAATTTCCTATTTGAAACCGGCAATTTAATATTTGTGGAAAAATGAAGGTTTAAGAGGTGACCAATGCCGTCTCGAAATACATTCAGGTATTCAACCTCCAATCTTAAACTTCCTGACTTATGAAGGCACATGTTAAACTGGAGTAGCCTAAAAAGGTCACAAATGCAACCTTCTTATAATTCCATATGATTTTGCCACTGATCAATATTGTCGGAAGCATAGAAAACTTTTTATCTGGAATCGTTCCGATGTATACAATTTGCACATACATTGTAAGCAAATCATAATGAGAATAAGCATTAATAAATGAAAAGAGAATAGAAAAGTCAAAGTGAAAGCAAAAGTAAGTGGAATAAGAATGGCGAATGAAAAGAAAAAGGTGGAAATGTAGATTTGTTGAAGGGAATTTCCCCTACAGAAGAGGATTACAAGTGTGAGAGAAGTGGATGTGAGAGATTCAAAATATGAAAAGAGGTGGAAATCCAGTCGAGATCAGGAAAGCGAAACATCGCTTCGAGATCAGTAAATGGGATAGATTTTGTGGACTGAAAGCGTCAATCATTTGCAAATTCCCCACTGAGTGGATGAATTCAGTTAAATAATGTCTCTTGTAAGGTTTCTCTGTTTCTTTTTTTTTGTTATAATTGCAACACAGAAAAGTGTACCTGCGCTTACTATTTAGAAAAGACTACTAGGCTGAAATTTGCTTGACAAACTTGACAATTTTGTTTGCTGATATTTTTAACTCTCAGTGCCGAGACCCACCTCAGTAGAGTCGGATAAATCACTACGCTGGCTACGACTGCTTCTACGACTGTAGCTACGACGAGCGGATGATATATTTGCTGAAGGTCGGATTGGTGCACAGATACTGATCTGAAAGTGGCTGAAGAATATAAGTGTTTGGAATGCCAACGAACACCTGACATTCGCTGTTTCAGGGCCTTCTTATTTAAGATGAAACAACTTGTTACTCTCTCGTCAACTCTGGCGATGGGATAATGACACTTGTCGGAGGCCGGTAATATGCAAGAATCCCGCCGTGCGTTGCTGCCAAACAGGGAATGGTGTCATTGGCATGGCTCACTGTGACCATTCGGGTGTTTAGGTTCTGGAGTTAAAAACATTTCTGATCGGTACTCTGTCAGAGATGGGCCCTCTTGTTCTTCCCAACATCTCTAAATGATAAGATTCCCAATTGACGTGGTGAGGACAAGTTATGATCATTTTGCAAAAGTTCCGCTTACCTTGAGACGCTTTTCCCATCGCAAAAATTTAATCTCGCAACCACCTTGGAACTTTGTGCAACCCTCTCATTCTCTATTTATCTTCATTCATCTTTGACCCCTCTCAGAGGAGTTTTAGTGCCCCTTTCAGCGCATGTTCCTTCAATGAGAGAACTGTTCTTTGGGCTAGTTGAAGAACTATCCACCCCTTACCCAACAACTTGACTTCTTTTCGCAACTTCCCTAGATTCTAAGTCCTTCGGTACGGAATGATAAAGTTTTGTAATAGTAGTCTTTTAGAGCGATATATCCACCTCTAGGTGAATCTTTTCATATCCAAAGTTTGCACAGCTATTGGCTACGGCTGCTAAACTTCAAAACATTCTCTCAGTGTTAAGAACCTTTTACCTCTGAATTGGCGCTTCTACGGAATCCCTTCTGTAAGTATGAAAATGTAGAGCGTGGAACTGGGCTCCATTTTTTTAAAAGGTCTCGAAACGTATTTATTGAAGGTTACAGGAGGTGAAATGCTCGATTCCGACGATTTTTTCAAATCACGTTGTGATGATTTTAGTAGCGCTAAGAGGAACGAACATTTTTTTCAATATTTCAAAAAAAAAACGTTTGAGAAATCATTTCAAGAATGTCTGATGGCATGCACTTCTGTAGACTGAACCACTGATCTAATGCATACTCCGCTTTGCTGCTTACGTTTACCATTTTTCTCAATCTTTGTTTTACGGCTGACTAACAACCTAAGTATGAGTTTTCGATATAAGCATCGTCTTCCTTACCGCATGCCCCGCGTGTTCATCGACCATGAAACTCCGCCAAGTTCTCATGTGCTCTGCACAATTTTGCCTTGCCCTATCTATGTTGAGCTTATCTGGCCCACCGGCAGCCGAGACCGTTGACTTTGTTGATAAATACCTACAGTTTTCGTCCCCCACTGTTGATAAATACCTACAGTTTTCGTCCCCCACCCAAGGATTCAACGTCCCATCAGCCCCCTTCCATTTTTGACCGTTTCCGTATGAACTATTTGCCGTTGGTTGCGACTAGACTGTAGAGCACCTTTGGATGCAATACTCCCAACTCGCTCTGACGAACGGCTCTTATGGTCGGGTGGAGAAACACTGATGAGAATGAAGACGTTGCTGCGCCTGCTAGGACTAACTTTGAAACAATCAAGAGAAAAAATAGAAAATGTGCTACATTTACTGTAAGTTGCAAGTACGGTCTATGCTGGTGACCTACCGCTTTGTTGGTTGTTTCCGTGCCAGATCCAACAAACACGCCATCCTCCACATAATACTCCATATGGAACGATCTGTTGTTAGTCTGAAGAATACCGGAGTTGAGCTCATTCGGCTGAAGCTCTGAAACAGAGCTCTGTTTACAGCACATCTCACCGTCTTGAACCTTGTTCCATCTGGCAGTCTTCTGATGTCCTGAATGTGTAGATGAGTACGAATGAATTGAAGATTAATTCCACATGTAAAACGGAATCAAGCCTAACATTAAAGATGTTCACACGTAGGATGTCCAATGCCTAATGCACCTTACAGACCTTCAAAACGAGGTTGGAGGAGTGATGTCCCAGGTAAAATTCGCTTCCTATATTGTCCATTTGGAAAAGTAACACAACCTCTCCGGGTTTATCGGGCCTTTTTGAAGGTTTGGAACAGTGTCCTGTAGAATCTTTCAGAGGCTAGGAATCGTTAATATAAATCTGTGTATCGACCATTGAAACTGTTCTTGCTAGAAAGTTCAAAGGCGGTTTAGTGGCTCAATCAAGAGGAAGGAGAGGGAATTCAAGGGGTAAGAGGCGCTAGTGCAGCCAGCTGGCTGAGAAGCTCAGTTGGAAAGCCAAACAAGCCTTCGTAGCCAGAAGAGTTTAATCTAAGTCAGAAGAAAAGCAGAGAAGAGGTTGAAATTCAGATTAAATGGCTTGGATGAGTAGCCTCACTCACAAGGGAAGGATACTTGGTCGCAGTGGCCATTCAAGTTGAGATGTATACTCCCGTAGGTGGTTTCAACGCTGATCTCGAATCCCTAAACGCTTGCAAAACGTTTTTGGGCTTATGGGGCATCTATGGAGCTCCCTCTTAATTTCGGAACACTGGAAAGGTATTAGAAGGAAAGTTTTTTTTTGCCCCTAACCGGAATAAGTAAGGAGCTACATTCGAACAAAGGAGGAGTTCTAAACATTCGCCCAAAATGGGCTCGAGAGTTTTCAAGGAGAAAGGTTCCAAATGATTCATCAGGTCAAAAGCTCTTCAACATGTATGCAGCCAATCTTCTGCGAATCTTCTGAGAGGACACGGTGTCATCATTAATGGACTTTCGTTTTGCAGCATAACGTGGGACCATCTAGGGGAATGAACAACTTCTGAGCCATTCTTCTTGATGCCGTGAAAGCAACCCAGTTATCCTTTGTGAGGAAGTCGAGTCCGTGACGGGCGATCACAACGATCCTCTGCGGTCGCCTGATGGTGACAGCGATGGATCCGTAACTTCGCGAAAGTAACCTCGTATCTTCGGAGATATATATCGGTTCCTATGAAACCTTCAAGTTTGTGATCTGGCCTATGAGCTCCAATTTTATGGTAGAAGAGTCTATTATTGACAACTTATGGTATTTTATGTGGTTGCAACCATTAGGTGCAAAACAAGCGGAACGAACTGCCCACCTATGGAGATTAGTGGATAAGTTGGAAGTTTGAGTCCGATTACATGACAGTCACTTCCACTGGATACCGCTTCAAATCAACAATGGAGAACCGTAGGGGGATAACTTCAGAGCAAGTCGTCGGTGCAAGTCGTCGGTGGATCCAGGGTTTTGAGTACAGCGTGGTATCAAGCCTCGCCGCACCACCACATTTACCTCATGAAAGGGCGCTAACCTCAAGTACAGAATTAGCGGATAATCATATTGCAAACAAAGCGATAAACTATTGTCCTTCCGTATTTCTTCAACAATGCCAGTTAACTTCGAAAGCGCGGTCACTATTCCTAGAAGGTGCGGACCCTAACCCTCCCAGAAAGGACTGTGGTCGAATGAGTCATTCAACCGACGTCTACCGAAGGTAAGCAAACCAGCCCGTTTAGCCCTTCGGCTGGACGCATTTGCATATTCTGCGATTCTGTTTAATGGTCTCATAATCCCACTCAAGGAAAGTGCGTGGAGAGTGGCTTCTGAATCCAGGCTGGAAGTTCTGTGCAACTGTGACAGTATGGTGTGCCTTAACAGTTGATTCATATATTCGCCCAAAGTCTTCCACATTTAACAAGGAGATGTCTCCCACCTGGGATTTAGAAGCGACTCCCCACGTACTTTCCCTAAGTAGGATTATGAGACCCTTGAACAGAATCGCAGAATAAGCAAATGCATCCAGCAGAAGGGCCAAACGGGCTGATTGCTTAATTCCGTCTACCGTGAATGGTGCAGGGAGCTGCCGAAGATTTCGAAACACTATCTTGACTGTTCGGGGTAGGGAGGCGTTGGCAAATTTTTTGTCTCTAGAATCACTATTCCAAGGAATCCAAAATTGTGAGGAAGCTTCACAGGTTTACAATATTGAGCCCAGAAACATTTTGAAAAAGTTTAGGACGCATTTAATGGAAAGGCAAAGGATGGTGGAATGGTAGGCATGACATCAAGGAGTCGAACCTTGATGTCATGCCTACCATTCCACCATCCTATCCGGTGCGCCACAATCACGGCTTTGTCACCACCAATCAATCACCAATCACCTGCGGCGGTATACATCTCATCTCGAATGCCACAGCGACCACGTATCCCTTGTCAGGCCATTCATGCTTATGTGACTTTCGGTTGAGGTAGAAAAGACCTGAGGCTGAGCAGAATATGAAAGTATCGTCAGAGTTAATGCGATGCCAATAAACGAGAGTTAGTCTAGTCACCAAGTTCATCATTTTTCTCTAGAACAACATTAATAGGGGTTACGCTTGACGTGATTTCGACGAAGTCGGGTATTTTCTTTGCCAATAGCCCAGTCATTACTTTCACTTCCATTATCACCTTCATCAATTTATTATGGTCTTTGAAGGTGTATACTGTGTGTAGTGCATGCAAATGTACTCGCGTTTTTGCACTTCCCAGTCTCCTTATCGAGACATTCAGAAAGTGGAAAGTGGAACGTACCAAGCTGGTCGAAGGTGAACGCGGCACTGTCCTAAAATAACCAGAATATTGAAGAACAAGAGCAATAGATAGAAGTACTCGCCTCCTTTCAACTGCCGTAGAGGTTCTACGAGTTCTTCTACGGCGTGATCTTCTGGAAGGACGAGATCTTCTGGAAGGACGAGATCTTCTGGAAGCACGTGATCTAGCACTTCTTGATGCAGAACGTCGTCGTCGTTGTGATGCAAGTCGTCGTCGTCGTTGTCTTTGGGCTCGCCGTTTCTGAAAGAAATGACTTCAGAAGGTTATCAGTGAAGTGCATGATTCAGTTAGTTATTTATGAAAGGCCGAGACTAAAAGGAATCTATTCTAATCCGCACCTGTCGCAGATAGCTCCTCACTAGCCGCGGATTTGTTCGTGACACTAGGTCACTCAGTGTGCCTGGATGCGATGCCAATATGCCCTGAACATCAGGTAATGTGGGCTAAATGGTGATGCCAATTACAGAACTCATTTTGAAGATAACTGCAAGGATCGTCTTACAACGCCCATCAAAATCAGGATAAGGTGGAAAAACAAAAGGAAAGCTGCTGCTACAGTACTATGATGCGTAAATGGGTGTTTCGTGGAGACACATGCTCGAATCCTGGAAGGAACTGAGTTGTATTTATGCCGATAAATCAATCTTTCTCAACTCACCCGAACAGGAATACGTGGCGACATACTGGTGAATGTCGGTTGTAGAGCATAAAAAAGCCAACTTGTAATAAATTCAGGATGAACGCAACAATAAAGCCAAGCAACAAAAGCAAACGGAGACCTGGAAAGGAGGCTTTAAGGATTTAAAGCGTATATATGAGCATCTGTGAATCCTCAGCGGCGTTTCACTATTAGCTGCGACGTTGCCTTCTATTCCGATTGTTCTGTTATGCTGAACGGCATCCCATTGAACTGACGTACTCTTTCACAACATCGTGTTCAAGCTAATAGATTTAAGGGCACAGTTCACGATAATTTTGAGGTACCCTTTTTTGTTAAAAAGCGAGTGTTGATATTGAGGAGTACATCGGTGAGAAGAAAGCGAGATACCCGCCTACCTCCAGGCTTTCTAGAAGTAGTGCAAGTAGAGGTTGTACGAGATCACCGTGACGGGATTGGCATGTATGGGATGTTTGGACGAGATTTCACTTGCTATCGTTGCGCAAAGAGATGACTACATTAAGCCAAAAATGTTCGAAACTGCCTTTCACTGTCGCCATGGGTTATTACAAGTTGTTTGTTCTTCCTACATGAGAGTCTCTCGAGATAGTGCAGCCTCTACAAAGCCGCTGACACTCGTCCTTTATGGGTGTGCCACTCGCACGTTACAATCTCTGACCCTTGTTGTGCCCTAACAGGACGTTTTTAAATCTTATAACGGCAGGTATGGTAAAAGGGGGAGCTTCGAATTCAAACTATGGGGAAATTTCGAGAACCTTCTTTATCGTGAACTGTGCCTTTGAATGAATTGTTACGCCATCTTCGTTCGGTAGATTGTTTTTTCGTTGGAGTGGAGGAAAGGTTCGGCTTTGGAACCATCTAGACTGCTACTTCTTCCTTTTATTTAGATCTTGAATAAAAATAGAAAGATATTCGAGATATCAAAAATTTTGGTGTCTTGATAGACGTGAAGAGGTGGTGGTATTATAGTTCGATGCAGGTGTGAGGGAAATGGCAAAGACCATCCAGTTCCCTAGTACCTTTTGAGAGTCCTATAGACGGTTTGGCGGCAAGCGGAGAGCTTCGTCGCGATGAGGGATGGACTGTCGTCGGCGTAGCGCCACGCATGGATTAGCGCGTACCATCGTGGACTAACTAGTGGGATTTTGATGGAGTTCACTGATAACGATGAAATCATATCACTCAATAAACTTGGGCCAATGTATTTATGTGCGTATAATGCAGAAATACATCTTTTTTTTNTTTTTTTTGTGATGGGAGTGGGAAGATTGTACAGCCCTGTTTGAGACAATCAAACGGAAGAGAAGCACTTGCGGGGTCTTCAGCTTCCCGAATCGGAATAGTAACAGTAACTATTGTGTCAAATTCAATGCTTCAGTTAGTGTCGCGTAGGGTAGAAGCCGAACTCCTGGAATTAAAAATGAGGAGCAACTATGCTATCAACTTCGGCTACCGATCTATCCAGTCGGACATTTACATTCCGATCTACGGTCGTACTCAGTGGTTTCTGTATATGGGTCGAAGATAACCTCATTACAGAAAAAACTAGGTTTCTAGTGCGAAACTCTCAGTGAGACTGATCTTATTGACACTAATTCAAGGAAATCGTCTGAGCGTTCCCTTGCCAATCAATATTTTAGACTTCAAATGCAGCGCCTAAAACACAGTCAAAAAAATAGTTGTTGTCAAGGGTCCAGAACTGAATGTACCGGGTGGCGGTACTTTTCCCCGAATTCCCACGGCAAGCGGCTCTGGTTCCGCGGCGGCTACGTATGCTCCCACTGAGAATGCAAAACTTTACTTCCGTAATGCGAAACAGTACACGACCGGGTGCGACGAGAACGGCGCAATGTTCGGGAAGAGGATACCACTCTCCCCATGGCGTTTTGCACATTGCTACCCTCATTGTTGTTGGAACCACAGCAGAAAGGTGATAAATGGAACGTATTTGATTGAATACTTTGGGATCTTGTAGGCAGACATTCCGAAGAGCTCAGTCAGATAGGCAACCAGGCATGCACAATCAGCCATTCAGTCTTACAGACGGAGAGAAAGAAAGACAGACAGACGAACAAACAAACAGACAAACAGTCAGACAGAGACAGCAGACAGACGAACGGGATGACAGGAGCTGTCTGTACACACGTTTTTATCGCTCTAGGCGGACGTTTGTTTTATCCGACGTTTTAGCAACTTCATCGTCCTCAATAGCTTGAGCGCGTTTAAAACATTTAGGAGTTTGACGTTTCACATTTGACACGGACTAGTTTTTCAATTAGATATAAGTCAGACCAGCAAAGTGCAAGCGCAATGGATTTCCAGAAATTAACTACTCCCGTCAATTACACCAACTCCGAGCGTCTATTCAACTACGAAGAGAATGGAGCAGGAATGGCTCACACTCCGTCATGACTTCGTGAGTGTCACTTCCCACTATCAATCACACGCGGTAAGATAGAAGGCGAAGTAACTTGTCACATTCACGCATTCGTTCTTATTGATTTGTGCAGGTTTCGGTGCTCTATTTGAGAACCCTCAAAATTTTCACGGCATCTGTAGCGTTCTTGTAAGAATCGTGCATTGGAAGTCAAAACCGGCTCGACGTCTATTCTGCGCTTCCCAAGGTTTTTCTATCGCTTGCTAGCCAAATGTTCCTTGCATAAGCATTCAATTGTCTCCTGATTTTTCCTATATATTAAGTGTCACATTTTAAACAATGAATTCAGTAAAAAACATTTCAGTGCACTGTCCAATGTTTTCACCTAGGTTTCCATGACCAAATCCTGTCACAAACTTCCTTGGTCAGGCCAGCTTTTTTTAGACACTGCTGCTGAGTTAATGTGATCAGAATGGCATCCGATTTCCCGGCTATTCTCCCTACTTGATCTGGATGCTTCCGCATATGTGGAATTAGGAATGACAAATCGAAGTGCTAGTCATCTGAACTTTTCTTGCTCGTCGTCACCAGGATACACCACCATAGCAATTTTGTAAAGTTCTTTTCTACCCTTCTTACACTGTATGCCTTTCTGTTCGAATATCCTTCATAGGCAGTTACTTCGGGAGGTACCGCGGAAACGCTGGTTGGTTTGGGACCAAGCAGTCTTCGTATGAGATTTCCCGAATTAACCTCAAGTTCATTCGGAAAATCTCTCATGAAGGGCGGTGGACTTGAAAACAGGGGAGTGAGTAGCCCTTGGGCATTGAATTGAATATCGTTGGTATGGGTGAGAACAACTTAAGATTTGGATTGTGCCGAGTTCGCTAACATTCCGTACAAAATGCTTTCAGATCATAGAGTTTGACGATAAGTACATGAACATGATTTAAGGACATTAAAAAACCTACCCAGGTTTTCAACTGCTATATTAAAAAGTATCATAAGGAGAAGAATGAGCTGCAAAACAGTTTCGGTGAGGAATGGAATTGGAAAATTACGGTGATACTGAATCCAAATTGGGAGTATTCACCAACTGAGATAAGAATGGCATATTACCTCAACTGCAAGCTGTGAGGCATAAAACGCTGATTCCGAATCAGATCGTACTTCGAAATACGTGAAGATTCCCAAGAAGCAAATCACCATCACACCAATTGTCTGGAATGCGTGTGCAGTGTATGCCGATATCACGTTATATACTGGAAATTGCCTAAGCTGTCACCTCCAAAGAAAGTGCTACCGCTTTTAGAAAACTGTACGTATCCTGGCGCCTTTTTGCTCGACGAACATCCCTTCTGAAAAGCACTATTGTTCAGCAAGTTCGGTAGCACCGGTACTGATGTATAGTTGGACAGAGAAGATTTATTAGTGGGGACGAACTGAATACAATGATAACTAATGAAAAGGCTGGTTTTATATAAATAGTAGCTGACCTGGTCAAATACCCTGGTCAAACTATGGTAACATCAGAACCTAGGATTTGGCGCTTAAAAGGTGGTATTTAATTGACTATGGTAGACCACACGCAATAGCTGTAAGCCTACACACCTCCCCTTTCAATTATGTAGAACACATGTAGAGTCAACAAAACAACGAGTTGGAACAAGTTATGAGGACTATGATGTCTTCTTTGGGTCCACCATGAGTCGGAGGGGTGAGTGGCGAGTCCCTACTAAAGGTCGCAGTCGCGGCGTCGACAGGGGAGTGAAACGTTGAGCGGCTGTGTGATCCAGCGTCGTCAGGTTCAGTGGAGTTAACATCGTACCGTTCACCGGCGTCGGTTTATCTTTAGTGGCATCAGCATGACGATGGTCCTTGGCGCAAACAGCATCATCCATGTCGAAGTGGCGGGGTTTGGCTCCTTGATCTCTGTTGAACTGATGCTCCATTTGGTGTCACAACGTCCTGTTGTGTTCTTAGGATGGCATTGTCAGGTCTAGTTCAGTACTAATACGACTGCCAAGAAAGCTTTCAGCCGGCGACGGATAATCTGGTCCGGATGGGCAGGGTGTTTACCGGTAGGCCATCAGAAAAGCACGAGTTGCTTTTGTTACTCCTCCCTCTTCGATTTGGTCAATCCACTTTCAGACGTGTCTACGATGCGCTCTTCTTGTTCGCTGCTCTGTGGGTGAAAGGGATGAGATCAGGCATGTTTGATTCCTCGACGGCGGCGGGAATCTACAAATGCTGCTGGAGTGAACTGGGTGCCGTTGTCCGTGATGAGTGCTTGCGGATTTGTGCAAAACTTTTAACAGCACTTTGATTGTTGCCGACGTGGGGATTGAATTCATCTGGATCATCTCGCACTTAGAGAATCCACTCACGATGATGAGATAGAAGTTGCCGTCGAGGGTCCTGCGAAGTCGGCATGCACTCGAGCCCAAGAAGTGAGTGGCTTTGGCCAAAATTGAAGCTCGGCCTCCACAGGTTTCTCGGAGTGCAGTGCGAAGGTAGCGCAGTTCCTGACGAGTTTTTCTATATCTATTCCCATCTACGGCCAGTATACATGGCTGCGAGCCAGCATCTCCATTCTTGTTTAGCTTGGATGAGTTTTGTGGAGTGCTTGTAGTCAGCAGGCATGATTCGGTGGTTGATAGTGACTCTCGTCGATTGTAGTATGGCCAGGAATGTAGTTTCGGCCCACTTTTGGCCATGTTCCGATCGTATGTAGCCGATAACTTAAATCAGGGATGGTCTGCAGTAGATGCGGCTTGGACGGGCCTGAGTGAGACCGGTAATTAATGGCAAATATCCGTTACTTCGGCGCAGAGATCTGCAGGAGAATCAAGAGATGCAAATCCTTTCTCGATCTGGCTGTACTTCTTCTGTGCTGGCGTAGAGCAAGGCTAGCATGGCAGACAGCTTTTCGTGTCCGTCAAGAAATCTTTGTGGGAGGACAGCCTCAATTGCGTCTGCAGCGACGATAAGCGACAGAGCAGGATCGTAGTGTGCAAGGAGGTCTGATTTGAAGACTTTCTGATCCGATCAAAGCAGCATTGACATTCCGGTGACCATGTGAAGGTGGTGTCCTTCTTGGTGAGTGCGTCCAGTGAAGCGCATAGATTGTGAGGTTTACGGACAAATGTTCCGTAGAAGTTGACCAATCCGAGAAGCTCCATTGACTGACGTCCTTAGGTACTGGCATCCTCTGGATTACTCCGATTTTAGTCGGGTCTGGTCTTTGGCGTCGATTATGAAGACAAGATAGCGGATTTCGATGTGAGCACTTTTCCAAGCGGAGGAGGAATCCAAAGTTTTGAATTCGTTTGGAAACTGCCTCTAGGCGAGAGTTATGCTGTTTTACCAGTGAAAATGATATCGTCGAAATACGCTGGAGTACCATCGATTTCTGCAGTCAAGGCGTCCGTTTGTTGATGAAAAATAGCCAAAACTGCTTTAAAGTAGTCCAGGATCGACTTTCTTCCAATCTTGGCATGATATGTAGTGAAGATAATTCTCTTCAAGCCTTTCGAGATTGAACAATTTATTAGGCCAACGTTTCGGCTGCTTCGCCTTCGTCAGGGCCTGAAGTAGTGCAAAGCATTGTGTGGCATGCTCGCCCAAAAGCCTCAACAAAACTCCAACAAAACCTCGAGTAAACCAGCATACGGTCTGAGGAAACCGATTCGTACAGACCTAAAGGCATCCCTGGCACTGGCTAAACTGTGAGTTGCGGTGAGGTGAGGAACTGATGCTCTCGGCAGAATTGAAACTTTTTTCAAAAGGTTACATCGGTAGATATGACCCACATTTAAAAAGAAAATTCCGCAACAGAAAAGAATTCCGACCTAATAAATTGTTCAGTCTTGAAAGGCTCAAAGAGAATTATCTTCACTACATATCATGCCAAGATTGAAAGAAAGTCGATCGTGGACTATTTTGTTGCTGGGTATGCTGGTCTACTTGAGGTTTTGTTGGAGTTTTATTGAGGCTTTGGGGCGAGAATGCCACATAATGCTTTGCACTACTTCAAGCCCTGACGAAGGCGAAGCAGCCGAAACGTTGGCCTAATAAATTGTTCACTCTTGAAAGGCTTAAAGAGAATTATCTTCACTACAGAACTGCTTTCACTCCAAAAGATAAGAGATTGAGGCGATGTAGGCCGCGATGCGTGTTGATTGTGCGCAGCTGTCGGGGTTCCTCGTCCATTTCTGGGCGTCGTTCAGGCCTGTAGAGAAGTCTGCACAAAGGCGGATTTATCAATTCTTCTCCCGAACGACTACAGGGCGCGGCCCAGTCGGACTGTTTGACCGTTGTCAGAACCTTTCCAGCTATCAGGCGATCGATTACTTGGCTGATCCTTGGCTGAACAGCGTATGGAACCGGACGACGGAAGACAGGAGTCGCGTCCGGCTTGAGCCTGAACGAAGCTTTTGTTTTTGTGCAGCACCCCAGTCTTAGGGCGAATAGAGCAGAAAAGTCTTTCCGAAGCAGTGTGATAAGGGACGATCGTACGGTAGCCAGTGCAGAGTTGGAGGATATGGTACTGTGCCTAATAATTCCATGAGGCGAACGAAGAGCGACTAGACCTGTGGACTCCATTGGAGTCCCAGTAGCGAAGTAGTGCCGGCCACATGACAGGTTCCATTTTCTCGGCGTCCAACAATGGCGAATGCGCACTTAAAGTAGCCGCGTACATTGATTTTCTTGTTGTTTACGGATTTAAGCTTGAACAGCGTTGGCAGGAGTTTCGGACGGCGCACTGCGATCCAATCCTTGTGACTCAAAAGGGTGACGTCTGCGCCTGTGTCCAGGCGCATGCGCGCGGAGACTCCACATCTTCACAGCCCGGTAGATGCGTTTGATTGAATCTATGTCAGCAATGGCGGAAGCGGTGATGACTTGGTTGGCCCTTCTTCGCTTTTTCTTAAGGTTGGAGGTTCTCTTTCTGCTGAAATTCCTGCAGATGCCCTTCTTGTGTCCGAGGGGATTGCGTGCGTGACAGCGTTATTCGATGAAGTCACACTCCTTCGCCCACTAGGGTCCTCCACAGCGGAAACAAAGCGAAAGCGGTTCGCTGCTTCGACCCTTCTTGGCCTCCACCGCATTGAATTCGGATGGGGGTGCAGCTGGTTACAATGGTTTGCACATGAGCTTGGCGTCCTGTCGAATATCTGGAAGTTGCTGAATTTATGTGATCCGAGAGTAATCCTGAAATTACGCTGACTTCCCTCGCTGAGCGTGAGTATGAATGTCGGTGTATTCCGGTGCCGCTAAGCCACAGATCCAGACGAGACATTTCATTTGTTCGGCAGTGATGGCGTTGAGTTCTGCCATTTCATGACGTCGACTTCATGACGTCGATTCACTAACCCAATATGGTCGCGGAGGCTTTCACCGTTGCACTGAGTTTTCATGTAGACGTAACGGCGGGGGAAGACTGACGAGTTGTGCCCGAACAGTTCCTGCAGTATCTTCACATCTTCCGCCTGTGAGATCTGGGCTGCTTCTCTCGGGAAAATGTGGCTGGCGTACGCAGGTGCATCGGGCTTCGATTCAATGAGGAGCCTCTGCTGCTCCGTCGAGAGCGGACCGTCTTGCGTGATGATGTCCTCTTAACGGCTGCATCAGACGTCGAAGTTGCAAACAATTTCCCCCATTTGCTGAGTCGCGCGTGAGCTCGGGCACCCGTGCGGACAGCGAGTTAGTGACGAACTCAGCTGATGAGGCGTGAGTAGTCATTGATGTGGATGTCTTCGTCGAGAACATGCCTTGCAACTCCTTTATGACGGTTGTAGTATCTTCCCCTGAGCTCCGGCTTGGGCAGTGATTATGAGAATAGCACGTAATGTGTCAACATTCATTGTAGTCGGCGTTGCTTGATAGAGTTGGCTGCTCGGCATAGTCGATCCTGATGGCCGGTTGATGTAGAGTCGAACGGAGAAAATTTTTTCGTGGAGACGACTGGATATCAACGATAACTAGTGAAAAGGGCGGGTTTATACGTATAGTATTTGGCCTGGTCAAACTGTGGTAACATCAGATCAAATCCTGGAAAATGGCGTCTAAAAGGTTGTCTTTAATTGACTAGATAGAATAGAATATTCGTAGAATATTCGTGATAGCTGTAAGCCGACAACAGGTTCCAAGTGTGGATTTCGACAGCAGACTAATGCTTTATTCGAGTGTGGCTCTTTCAATCGGTGTTTGTTTCAATTAGTTGAGCATATAGTGTGGATATGCCCATGTTCGAATAGTTGTAGGCTTCCTTCCTCACAATTAGAGTAGGACGAGCTTATTTTCACTCCTCTCCTCCGGCTCCTCCCTTTGAAGTCTAACATGGTTACCCAATGGAAGCTAACAGCAGCAGGTCCCGACATGGTGATCACGAAAATGATGAAGTGTTTTTTGACAACGTTTTCATTAAAATCCAAGGCGACCTTTCTGTAGATAACCTGTACGACTGTGCTGCCTTTCGAAGAGGAAAAGTAATGGCTGCTTTCTCCCAGTTTCGTCCTGTCTGTAATCTATTCACCTCCCACATGGGCCATCCCAAAATTAATTGTAGGAAGTGGATGAGAACAGCCGTGTTAGCAAGGGCTTGGGAGTCCGAAAGAGGTTCGTCTGACTCTTTAATTACATGGTCACGAGAAATTGAGATAATGTTGCGAAATTACAGATGCGCTTATTTTGTTACTCTATTCAAAGAAGGTCTGCACTTTGGTAGAACTGGTAAGGATGAGGGTGAGGTGGAACAAAGGAAATCTTCGGTTTCTATACTGAGAGACGTATTTCCTTGTGTCGTTGTGACCGAATCCTGTGTTAAGTCGCGAAGAGGAGCCAGAGTCACAGGAGTGTTCTGTCAAACATGCGAATATTTTAAAATAGATAATGAAACTGCGGTTCATGAATATACCTTGTCATTTTCCTTGCTGCTACTACAGCCTGT